CCCTTTTCCACAGACGAAACTTCGCAAACCTCTCACTGCTCTATTGCTACTTCCATGGAAAGTGTTTAAATGAATTACACTCCTTAGTTCCACCAATTCTAGTCCTCCCCTCTAACACCCACCATACCATGCACATTAAAGCGAACCACCCACATTCCCTTCGTATCCCATTAGTGTAAGTTCCGCTTGAACAGATTCTTCGCATGAACCGGTGTTTTGTGTAACAAACTCCCCGGTCACGACAATCTTAATCTGTCTAGGGTTAACCGTTATCTTTCCCAGATGTTCGCATAAACTATCCCTCTTAGTCTGTAACCCGAGCAGCTCGAGTGGATCCCGGGCATTCTACAGAGGGGGACATGATTGTAAAAAGTCGGCGATAATTAAGGATAAGGATTCTTGATTGGGCCTTCGGCTTGTTCAGAAGTTTGAGAGTCCCTAAGTTTTCGCATATTTACAGCATTGGGAGCTCTTTTGGCTGCCGTTTGATCTGAGTTTTTATTTACACATGAATTTCTTTTTCATGCTGCAGCCTTGGCTTTTTTTTTTATTGCAATCTGGTGCTCTTTTGCAATTAATTTTGATTAGTGATTTTCCAAGCGTAGCTTAGATGTGGCACAAGGCCGAAAGTATGGGGCACCCAGTGAGGATCGAACTCACGACTCAGTTGTAATTGTTCTAGCGAGACATGCTTGCTAACCATTACACCACATCGAGGTGCCCTCAATTAATTTTGATTATTCCCAAATTTGTTTCCAAGTTATAAAAAAATGTTATCTTACAAAAAAATTCGACGCAAAAAAAACAAAAACAAAAAAAAATCACTGAAAATAATCGCAATACTGAAAATTTAGGAATCCAAAATTTCTGTAACATGACCTACTAAAAGTTAGTTGTGTCCTTTTTTTTTAATTGACACGTTGACATTCGCATTTATTATATAGATTAATACTTAATTTTATTTTTATAATAATGGACTTTACTGATTTAAAAGAATACTTGCCTTTATTATATCATATTATGTCACAATGTGATATAATATGATATAATAAAGGGAAGTAAATTTCACTGATGTTCGCGGGAAAAGTTTTCCTGTGGACGTAAAGATAAGATTGTTACTGTCACGCAAACCTCAAGCGGTAAAAAAAGCAATATAATACTCGAAAAAGAATAGTTATCCTGCAGTTTGCATTATTTGTCTATATTTTCGAGATGAGGTATTGTAACAATTTATACTATTTAAATTGTTCGGACTATAGTCCTCATACTTACTACCATAGCCATGACGTTTCGGCTGTTGTACGCTCCGACATTCTTCAGGATCTGTCTAAATTTCCGAGATGAGGTATTGTAACTATTTACACTATTTACATTGTTCGGACTGTTGTCCTAATCTTGATTGACCAAGCCTTCAAGTGATAGACGTTGGAAATTTCAAAGGGAAATAACTGAAACTGAGTAAAGTAAAGCCATGACACGTACAAACAGAATAATCTACCCGACGAAATATAAGGGTACAGAACGAAATTCCAACGTATATCACCCGAAGAAGGCCGAAGCATACAATGACCAGAACGTCGGGAATATAATAATAAAGATGAGAACAGTCCGAAAAATTTAAATAGTGTAAATAGATAAATTATTCAATATATGATACTAATAAAAGTGGCATATACAAGATATCAGAATTTCGTGAAACCTGCTATATAAGGCAAATTCTCTCCGAGACCCGAACGTACAGCCTTACTGGGGTGGTATATATTTTATGCATATTTGATGGAATGAATTATAAATATTATGTTTATTTTTATCATAATCCTTTCATATTCACGAATATTTTTCCATATATTACAATCAAATGAGACAAGAAAAGCACTGTAACTGTGGAAATAACTTTTATTTCCCGAATATATCAGAGGTGCAACTGGTAAGGCCAAAAAGTATGTCTAGCTATCCATTACTGGGGTTTTTTTCTTGTGCGATTAAATGGCTGACATGCTTTAGCGTTCATTAGAACGTGAAAATTTATCAATTATGGAATTTTTTTCTTTTATGTCATGGTCAAGCGCGCATTAAAGCGTGTAAACTGTTCTTTTTACAGGCAATTTAGAACATTATTACAGTATTCATAGCTGATTCTATTCAGTGTTGACTTCAATGTTTAATTTACATTGCTTCGATGATATGTACAGTGCCGTTCGATAAAAGTGACTCACCTGATTTTTTTTACTAAAAATAGTTTTGGCTATTGTTTTTGGGGTTAAAATAATTTTTAATCTTCCTAATATAAAGACCCCTTCCCGACCACCTAGGAAAAAAGTTTATTCACCCTAAGGTATTCTATTGATAATTATAAATTTAGATATAAATGAAATTCAGGAAAAAAATGTGCAAAAAAAGTGACTCAGATATCGCATTCTAATGATTAAACTGGTAAATTTAAAGAGCTTTTGAAAAAATATTGAAAACTATTTTACAATACACTCAGAACAATATTCTAGTGAATTCTAGAACGGCTTAAATTAAATCTAGATATTCCAGAAAGCCACATAGAGTATAAAAACAGCTTGAAATAGCCATTCAGAAGCACTTAAGGCATCTATTATTGCCCTCTCAAGAGCAGGCAAGTCCAGGAGAGAAATTTCAGAAATTGCTATAACCTACATTATTCGGACTATTGTCCTCATCTTTGTCACCATATTTATCACAACGTTTCGGCCGTTGTACGCTCCGGCCTTCTTCAGGTGGTTGGAATGCCGAACTGTTCCTCCACATATATCTGATATTGAGAACTTTATACCATAAATATAGTACATCTTAAAAAAATATACACACACACTGCGTGCCAAATTATTATCGAGATAACTTTTTTTCTAATATTTCAAAAACCGCCCAATCAATTCACACAATGTTGGCAACAATAACCTGCACAATCACTGAAATTTTCGTACTGATCTGCGCAATGTAAACAAACTGGCGCCATATTTGTTATCAGCTCGGTGATTTGAGCGTGCCAAATTATTAGAAAAGTGTAAGAATTTAGTGGAAAGATGGGCCGTAAAAGCAGTTTAAGTGATGCTGAAAAGAAAACTATCACCTCAGAACTCTCAAAAGGTAAATCTACCCTAGAAATTTCTAAAATGATAGGGAGGTGTCATCAAACAATGAAAAAGTTCACCGCCGACCCTACACAAGTTCGCAAAAGGGCAGATAAAGGCAAGCCGAGGGTTATTTCACGTCGTCTCATGTCACAACTTAAACGAGAGGCCACGAAGAACCCTGGACTTGCCAGTCAAGAGCTTTTCAGTCGCATTGGGGATCCTACTGTGTCTAAAAGTACTCGGTGTCTGTATCTGAAGGAAATAGCAACAACAGTCAAACCTTTATCGAATCCTCCGTTGACGAGAAATCACATTCAAAATCGATTGAAATGGGCCGAAGACAATATGAAGATTGACTTCTCTAAAGTTTTGTTCACAGACGAAACTCGAGGAACACTTGATGGGCCAGATAGATGGTGCAAAGCCTGGGTAATGAACGGACAGAATCGCCATCATCATTTGAGACGCCAACAAGGCGGTGGAGGCATAATGATCTGGGGTGGTATTATTGGAAAAACATTAGTGGGTCAATGGGGAGTACCAGATGGTGTCAAAATGACTGCTGATGCATACATAGCGTTTATGAAGGAGCATCTTGAACCGTGGATGAAAAGGCAAAGAGTTGCCTTCAGGAGGGCCATTGTTTTTATACAAGATAATGCTCCCTCGCATGATGCTCACAAGTCTACTGAATATTTGAAACAGTTAGGCTTCGATGGACCTCGAAAAATAAAGTGGCCAGCAAATTCTTCGGATTTGAACCCAATCGAAAACCTTTGAAGCATCATGAAGCGAAGACTGTAAGCAAACGGACGACAATTCAGGAGCAACGCTGAGTTGTGGGAAGCAATTCTTGACATATCTCGCGGCATTAAAGCAGATGACATCATGCAATTAACAAATTCTATGGATCGTCGACTTCAAGTAATTTCAAAACAGGGAAAGCACATTCCCTATTAATTTGTTTAAAACTGTGCCTTCGTTTGTATCTGTTATTATTTGTTTGATTATCTTATTTATTAGCTTCTTTTGATCATAAACATTCACGTGCAACATTAATAAACGTTTTGTGTGCTCAATTCTGGGAATTTTACTAAACCTTTCTAATAATTTGGCATGCTCAAATCACCGTGCAGATAACAGATTTATATAAAATATATATATTTATATCTTACAAACAAATATGCACAACAGATTCATAAAATCAAAAGAAAATGGTTGAATACATCAACACAGATATAATGTCAATATTCTCTACACGTGACAATCACTGAGGTTATTTTTCAGTTAAAAATATGAAAATAGCGTTTCTCTACATTCCAGTTGCTAGGTACATTCTGTTTTTGTTTTTATTAGTTACTTTGTTCATTTAATTTCATTTTCGTATTTTGCTTTGATAAAGTCCACATTGGACGAAACGCATCAGCAATTACCAGTTTTCCTATTGTCATTTTTATTCATAAATATTGTCTTCTCTACTGGTTAAATCGGAGAAATTTTCATTATCTTTCTCCCTCATGAACTGCATCCAAGGTCTTATTTAGTTCACATTGTCCAGTAGAACCTGAGCATCTTTCTGGTGTGGCCAGATTATGAAGGTGTCATCCAATCTATGGAGGTCATTGCAAATGATGGCAAATATATAACTGAATAAAATATAACTACTTTCTTTTTGGAAGAATAACGTTTATATCCAAAACCGAAATTATTTATGACTGAAAACATTTCACTTTAAACTGATTTATATACTCCTTTAGAATATTTTTGATCTTTTTTTCATGGTGTAAAATTACATGTTCAAAACCTATAAAATTATCTTCAGATTTTATGTATTATACCAGTAAAGTGTGAACTTGTATAATTGCATTAATGTTTCTACCAATATTTTCTGTGAATCTAATGATTGTTTCTTTTCTTTACAGGGCTTCTTTTGCCTTTTGGGTAGTTACTATCATTCTGATGTGTTCCGTTGTCTTCTTCGGTTCTATAATGTTTATCATTTCTGGACTGACTATGTGCATAACAGTGCTAGTTTATCATTTGCTTCAACCAATTTATCCTTTCATGGTTCCATTCGACAAGCAAATTCTTCACTTACATTACAGTTGGTGCTTCTGGCTACTTGTTGCCACAGGTGATTTTCTTTGATTTTTTTATTGAAATTCAATTTTTTTATTATAATTACTACTACTATTACTACTACTACTAGAAAAAAAAAGGCTGCTAATTCAGACACAAATATAACATTTATAATAAGTTATAACATTGGGTTAAAAAAAAATAAATGTTATATTTGTGTCGGAATTAGCAGCCTTTTTTTTTTTTTTAAACAGTGAAATTAATGTCAACCGGCCTAGAGATCAATAAGTCTTACTAAAGAAAATGTGCTTAGCCTAGTGATCAAGAATTCTTACTATGTTAAAATTCAAAAATACATTTCCTGTAAGAAAAAAAATTTAAACCTAACATTTAAAAATATTGAAACTCTTAAAAGCTTTAAATTTTCCTGTACAACATTTGATAAAATCTGTCTAAACCTAAGAGAACAGTTGAAGACTGACTTGATCTGACTGAGTAACTATATCAGTCCATGAAGTTGTCTAGATCTGAAAATCCAAATACTGAATTATTTCAAACCTTATGACAAAGAGAAAAGGAAAACCCCAATCTCTTCCTAGGCTATACTCTGTCCGTGTACAAGCACAAATATGAATAGATGGGCCTGGATCATTTAAATATTTTGTATCACATCACAAATACACCAATATAAAAAAACACTCTTTTTCTTCCCAGGCCAGTGTACTGTCACTGAGGTGTGGGCTATGCTGACAACAAATATATATTAGATTGTATAAGAATGTTTACCAAGTTTTCTAAGAAATAAAACTTAAGATAAAACTTTCTAAAGTAGAAATTATGAAATTGTGATGGCGCATGCCTGAATCCATCATAAAAATTCAGAAAAGGAATAAATTCGAAGCACTTCAAACTGGAAATGAGGATTTACCAGAAAGCAATCTTAACATGAGAACCGCAGATGATACTGTATTATTAATAAACACAGAATGGAAAATACAGGACCTTAAAGTATTAAGGGAAAGCAAGAAGAAAGGACTAAGCATCAACTGTAGGAAGATGAAATCTGTTTTTCAGCAAGAGGAAAAGATCAAGATGTGAACTACGAATTGGAGATTTCAACGTCAAACTAGTACAGAAGTTTAAATATCTGGGAAATCTTCTAACGGAGGATGGAAAAGGTGACACTTCTATATTTTTGAATCTTGTCCTTTCTCCTCACTAGCATTTTCTCATTTTCTTTCACTCTCAGTAACCCCTTATCCGCTGTGTGAGTTACACTGAAGACAGCCCCAGAAATAATTCACAAGTTTTACTTCATAATGCTCTTGAAAACAAAAGAGCAGTGATGCTGCCAATTTGGATACACAAATGACACTGTTGATGGCAGACACAGAAAGAAAACTACAGAACGTCCTAGATAAGGTAGTAAAGGAAAGCAAGATAAAAGGACTATCAACTAATAAGACGACGAGGTAGGGTGGTCATCAATAAGAGAAAATGCCCAAGATGTGAACTATGAATTGGAGATGTCAACATCGAACAAGTACAGAAGTTTAAAATATCTAGGAAGTGTTTTAACTTAAGTTGCCTTCAAAAAGCTAAGCAAAAAAACGGGTTAAACTGTTATATAATATCAACCCACCTCTATGGCAGAGAATATGGATCATCTCTTCACAGATGAAAAGACTTGAAGGATACTGAGAATACACCATGGACAGAGTGTGTAAGCAATGAAGAAATCTTAAAGAAAATGGAAATAAAAAGCATACTTATATTTAGAATCGGAAAAGGACAGCTGAACATACTTGGATACAAGGAGGGTTTGGAGAATAAAATAAATCTTGAGACCTCTTCATATGTCAAGATTTCATGTAGCAAACTCTTTTCTTGAAGATATAGACTCCATGAAGTACAAGACTGAAGTAACATCACGTTAGATGTTAATGTAGCAATTTAAATTGTATTTAGGTTCTATGGCAGGTAAGGGGATGTTACTTGCCCCCACACCCTCTACTCTCCTATTTAACCCATAGAAGAGATGGATTCATGCCTTTCCAAAGATTATTCATACGAAAGTAAATGGAATAGAATAGACCCGGATTTAAACTCAGCTTGCTGATTTCATTTTTTGGCGTTAATAGCCATTGCACTAACTGCATGTCCCCTTTGAGATTAATTTTAACAAAATAATCTTTCTCACCCATCTTAATTTCAAATAGTTTATTGCTTTTCGATAATGAAACCTTTTTAATTAATTCTTTTTTTTTTGTGCTGTGTCTCTTCAGGATGTTGGCGATCATGCCACTCCCCAACATCCTGTCTTTTGTAGCTCTTAATAAATTTTATCTTTTGATATCTCTCCGAAACCATGTTCTGCCATTCATTTACTGAAGCTCGACAGGTTATGATTTGTTTTCCTCTGTCCCTCTTACCTTTTGATCTGTCCTATGAGTATCAAATTTTCCAAGCCCTCTTTTCTCATATGTCCTAGAAATTTCAGTTGTCTCTTCCTGATAAGTATAAGTATCCTTTTTGTTTCCATTTTCTCTAAAATATTGTCGTTGCTTACATATTCAGTCTATGGAATTCTCAGCATCCTCCTGTAGAACCACATTTCTGTTGCTTCAAGTCTCTTCATTTGTGAGATTATCCAGTATTCACTGCCATAAAGGAGGACTGATATTAAGTTGTAGTTTAGTACTCTTTCTGTCTATATTTCTGAGCTGAAGAATTTTAATTATTTACACTGTTCGGACTGTTGTCCCCATCTTTATTGCCATATTCACAGGGTTTTGGACGTTCATCAGGTGACTGCAATTTCAAACTGAACCCTTTATTTCATTCACCAGTGTAGATTGTTCTAGTTCCAAATGCAATGCCTCTTCCTTGAAGACACACAGCCCAGTGGATAAAAGCATTGGTGATAAAAGCGTTGAGCCAGTGACTTTACCCAAAGAGTTGTGGGTTCAATACCTGGCTAGTGCAGTGGTAAACAAGAACTTGGAGAATTGAGTTAAAGGGAGATAACGGAGACATCCGGAAGGGGTATGGCACGTGAAACTAAAAAACAATCTACCCCAGTGAACGAAATAAAGGGTTCAGTTCAAAATTCCAATCACCTGAAGAAGACCGGAGCGTACAACTGCCGAAACGTCGTGAATATGGCAATAAAGATGAGGACAAAATTTCGAACAATGTACATAATTCGGTAGTCTTTTCTTTGTTTCTAATGAAATTTTTCTTTTTATCAATATTGTAAATTAAACTATATTTAGAAAGTTTTTACATAAAAACGGCAAAGTAAATTCGCCCTGAATGTTGTAATGAAAAAAGGAAATAAAATTACTAAAAAAAATAGTAAAATATTAATAATGGAGGATAGTCCAGAATAAGTTTTTTCTTTTTGTGATGCTTCAGGAAAATTGTCGCAATTTTCTGCTTATTTGTACTACAGTGAGACCCGGATATAAGAGATTTTCTCTGGTCCCAAATTAGAGCCTGTGTTAATGTATATAAAATAGACCAAACCCGGATATAAGAGACTTCTTCTCCGGTCCCGACAACTCTCTTATATCCGGGTTACACTGTATTTAAGAAATTAAACAAAAGAAATTCTTTAAAAATAAAAAAATAAAAACTCCAAATAATTTATCTAACTTCCTAAAATAAAAAATTCTCTCATACAAATTAAATTATGTCGGTACATCAACAAATCTTTAAAAAGGAAAAAATGGCTAAAAATAATGTTTGAAGTAGTAAAATATCTCGTGTAAAAATAAATATTTTTTTAAAATATTTTATTTTAAACAAGAGAGATTTTACTAGGTCAAACATTATTTTTAGCTTATATACCCATGTTTGAGTAGAGACGCTCCGATTATTTTAAACAGCATTCTTCGTCTACTCGAGAAGAACATATGCAATAATCATGGGTGCGCAGGTTCGAATCCTGCCGGTGGGCATTTTTTTTTTTTTTTTTTAGGTTCTCGAGTACGAAGACCAATAGGCAAAATAAATACTGTTTAAAATTAACGGAGCGTCTGTTCAAATACGAATATCCGTTAGGAATTTTTGAAGTAATAAGAAAAAAATGTTGGCTTAAAGTCAGATCAATTAATTCTTTAGAAATTACAAGAGATACTTCTTTTTCAACACAATATCCTTTCTTGTCAATGCACTTGATACAGGTAGATATTAAAGACATGGATAAAAAATATATAATGAAACTTTAAGAAAAAAAAAAATCAACTAATAAATACATGTCAGGCTACGAACTTATTGATTCACCTTGGTATTTACCTACAATTTTTATAGATATTTACAAAGCTTAGATTAATCTGGTGCAGAGCTTCAACGAAGAGTTGGTTGATTGTAATGTTTTAGTCGAAAAGGCTATTTATTATTTTGATTAGCTTCAAAATTTTGCCGTTCTATTTGGATTCAAATAGCGACCGCGAAATTTCTAGTGGAGAAATATCTCGGGAATAACACTAAAATGATTCCGATATCAGAAAATAGCAAATTGATAGTCAATATAAAACCATAAGCTTCGTGTATGCTTAGAAAAATATTTAGATTTTTTTTTTTTTTTTTTTTTTTTGAGTTTACAAAATAAATATAAATAATTCTGATTATCTTTCAGGAATTATAACAACCATCCTGGGAATTATCGTCCTTGTTTTCAATTACATAAAACCGAAAGAAACAGCAAATTTTTTCGGTTTAGAAAATGAATTCCCTGACGAAGCAGACGACATTTCTTATAACATGGAAAATGCACTTGACGTGAACAAAGTAATTTTTTCTTTGATTCATTTTTTTTCTTTTTATTTAAAGTATTTTAATTTGATTTTTTTTCTTTTTATCTGAAATAAAAAGAGTAAAAATACAAAAAAGTTCGTGAAAAAAGCATGTTAGAAAACTATGCAAATAATTTATTTGCAGGAAACAAAATAAACTTGAACATACGCGTTAAGCTGAATGAACCGGAAATATTTCGATATAATAATTTGAAGTTTGTCAGTTTAAAAAACAACCCTTTTGTGGAGAAAAGGGCTCTCGATTCCCAAACGATCAGAGACTGCTAAAGTCGAGGATGGGAAAAAAAGCAATATAACAGTCACCTACCTTAAGTTGACAAACAGATGTCCGTTTTCCGCTGTGACAGGTAGTATTTTTATTTATGTAAAAATTAAAAAATACATAAAATGTGGCGCGAGCCCGAAATTAGGAATGGAGAAAAGTTGATCATCACTATTCTTAAATTTAACTTAACTTGTCGCATTCACTGACGCAATCATGCTTGTATGGCAACATGGAAGGTAATTAAAAAAAAAAAAAATCCTCTCGTTTTATACAACTTCAGGGATCACGTAGTATCGCTGTCACGTGACCACTGTAATAACAAATTTTTCGTTTTTTTTCTGGGGTAGGAGGGTGTGGGGTTTGTTTGGTTTTTTAGTTGTTTTTTTTTGTTTTTTTGTTTTTTTGTTTTTTTTGTTTGATTTTGTTTTTTTTCCTTAAGTAAGGATTTCAACAACACAAGTACACTGCTCGTTTCCCGCCTGACCAACGGTCAATTTCTTCACATTTTTTTAAGACAGCATGAATCCTGTCAGAATTAAAGGCAAGAATTAGTTTTCTGATATGCTTAGGATATTTTACTAGTTGAAATTTTAGAGTGGGAAAAACGGTAACATCTGTTTGTCTGTCTATATTTCTGAGATGAGGTATTATGTACATTATTTACATTATTTGGACTATTGTCCTCATCTTTGTCGCCATATTTATTACAACGTTTCGGCCGTTGTACGCTCCGGCCTTCTTCAGGTGGTTTATTGATTAATTCGTCTTCTACGGCTTATCAACCCGTTGCAGGTTATTTAAAGCCAGAAAATATTTTTACATTGTAAATTTTTTGAGATAATAATGATTTAGTGATACAAGTCATACTAATTAACCCGTAGCTGGGAAAATGGATTCATACTTTTCCCAATGGTATTTGCCTTGCGTGTAAGTGAATATAACGGACATAACTGGAATTGCAACTCTGTTCTTCGATTTCCAGTTCCGGGCCATTATCCAGTACACTACCCGCACATCCAAGCTTACAGCACTGTTTCCAAGGGGCTACCCATCTATGTACTAACCAAGGTCGACGTTGCTCGTACGGAAACCGGTGTTTCAACGCTATATGGTCGTAATCCAATATCTGGTTATGAAAGTGTTTTTAAAAAATTAGCAAGAAACCGCCACTGAAAGCTTAATTAACGAATCCTTTTCCAAAATGACAATGTCTCTGCCCATTTCTCTTATCAGACAAGGAATATTTGAAGAATTCCGACGGGAAATTATTAGACATCCATCTAACAATCTTCATTTTTAACACCTAATTTATTTTTCTTATTTCTTAACCTTAAACAATTTTTGAAAGATGTCGGTTTTGAGACTGTTAATGACGTAACGAGGTTATATTTTGAATCCTCTACTTTTGATGTCATTTCTTCTCAATATTTCATACTCGGCAACTCCTTGCGGCCTGGTGGCATTTATCGCCTAGCATGGGGTGACATGATTTTAAAAAAAATATTCCCAGAGCCTTCAATTGTTCCAAATTTGTAAAAATGGCAGATATCATCGCTTACAGATGTACCGTGATGTTAATAGATCTCATGTCGAGAAATAAAGCTTAGACTTAAAAATGATTACTGCTTTACATTTTTCAGATTGTTGTCCTCGTCTTGGTTGCTATATTAACGACGTTTCGGTCGTTGTACGCTCCGACCTTTTTCAGGTGATTGGAATTTCAAAGTGAACCCTTTATTTCGTCCACCGAGGTAGACTATTCTAGCTCTACGTGCCATGCCTCTTCCGGATATCTCAGTATCAGTCATTTCCATCCAAGTTTTTGTTCACCTCTGCTGTGGCCAGATATTGAACTCACGAACTCTTTGGGTCAAATCACTGGATTACACTTTTATCCAGTGGGCCACGTGTCGAAATAAAGGGCTCGCTTCAAAACCCAATCACCTGAAGAAAGCCGGAGCATACAACGGCCGAAACGCCATGAATATGACAACCAAGATGAGGACAACAGTCTGAACAACGTAAATAGTGTAAATAGTTACAATACCTCATCTCGGAAATATAGACAGATATTAAAAATGTTTATTTTAATTTTATTTGCGAACTTTTGAATGTCCATTATTTATTTGATATTGAAAGTATATTTTGTAAATCTGTATGTATATATCAGTGGGTGTACGTGTTTGTTTTACAGTAAAGTTAGGTATAGTATCAGGTGTGTACGGAATATAAATGACCTTGTGTGAGAAACTAAATACTTAGCTGATTAATATGAATAGACATGTTTTATTTGATATTATATCTTTGCGCGTTTTTTTTTTCTTTTCAGGCTGCTGATTGTCCTTTTCCGCCATACTGTTATTCCAATCCATGTTTCAATGTAAGCCACGGCACCGAACCGTTGAAAAGCAAAGAGAGCTCCCTTCTTGAGTTAAACGCTGATACAAATGGGGTAAACACGGACGGCAATGACTCCCATTACATCTCTTCACTTGACCGGAGTTTTTTTCGCCCAGGTCTCGTGAGTTCAAACATTCCAGCTGACGTTGGAGTATTCCCTGACAAAAGTTTCAGACTCCCTATAGAAGAGCATAGCAAGACTGGCTGTGAAAAAGTTCCCACTTCAGAAGAAAACAAGGCAGATTTATCGACCAGATTCTAAAACCTTGACATGTACACCAAAATAGTCCACGAAACAAACTCAGCCAATTTAAAAACGCTGTCCGCAAATGAATGGAACTTGAAAAAAACTCTTTAACTTTTCACCTAAGAATCGACAAATGCTTGCGATATAATTCCTTTACCATTTTTTATTTGATAAGGTTGAAACGCGATTACTCCATTTCACCCTCTTCTCTTAAACTGTGATAAAACCTGGCCATTCTTTTCTTTTAAGAATTGTATTAAAGCTTAAGATTCGTATAAAGCTGCAATCTGCGCGGTACTAAGATCGAACCTACTGTCACATCATAATGGTCTTGCGCGCTAACCATCGTTCCACGTTGAGGCGTTTCTATAATTATTTACTCAATGTAACAAGACGTGTGTCTTTCGTGAGGATCAAACTCTCTACACTTGCGAATTGATCGACGTGACTAGCTTAATAACCTATAACCATCGTGCCATGAAAATACAAGGTGTACCAACCAAAAAATTGACATTTAAAAAGTGAATATAAGTTTTTCTCAAACGAAATTTAATTAAATTAAATAGGCTTCATGTTGAACAATAAAAATTTTATTTATCAAAATCCAAACAAGATATTCAAATGGATCTAGATTTTATAACCGATTTCACAAAGCTTCAGAAATGTTCAATATGCGTACCACCTGTGACACGACACACGTCAAGTCGGTAGTCCAGCTCCTGCCAAACACGCTGTAGTATGTCTTGCGTAACGTTCCCCAGCGCCTCAGTTCCTTTCGGCTTGTAAGAAGAGGGGATTTATGGACATGTCTTTCCCCATATAAAAAAAATCACAAGATGTCAAGTCAGGTGAACGCGGTAGCCATTTCAACAGTACATTGTCATAATTACTGGCATGTGCGATCAGTCTTCCTAATAGATCTTCCTTGAGATAAGTCTGCGCAGTCAACTTAGTTTTTACACATACTTTTTAAAATTTGAGACCATTTCAGCGAGAATTGGCTGTGTTATTACACTACAAAATTATTTCACTTTTGGGTGGACACCCTATATTATATATCATTTAACTTGCTTAAGAAAATTATTTAAAAGCCTAACCTATTTCAAGCAGTACCCTATAGAATTTGATTATTTCACACTTTTACCGCTGACATCTAAAAATATGAATTGGATAATGAGATATTTGTATATATTTTCTAGGATAATATCTGTTTTTGTGATTTTTTACTAACCGCAATTTCCACAAAAAAACCTATTTTGGTGCTCTTGCGAAGGTGGTTATATCTAGTAGTGGTAGAACGAGAGCATGAAGATAGTTTAAAAGAATATCTATCAGTAGAACAGCTGTCTTTAAATTGGAATAGAGATCTGGTATGCTCGTAACCACCTATTAAGAAGAGTAATCTACAAAACTCCAAGATGTAACGTCCGATATGACTTGTTGGAATAACGTTCGATATAACCCTACACGCAAGACGCTAGTGGCCCACTGATGGCAGCGCCAGCGATCTTCTGGTAGCAGCCACCGGCAGTCCACGGGTGGGCCTCTAGCGGTCCGCCACTGGTAACATTGCCCAGATGAATACGTCGGCGGTCTAACAGCGGGCCACCAGTAGTAAACGCTAATGGCATGTTACCAATAGTCAATTGGTGAAAATAGAGGAAAATAAATTTAGGGAAATAATTTTTATGGGTTAGCATTTATTAAATATTCCGTGAAACACGACATTCGTCAGAATCGAATAATATTGATTTTTTTTTTTTTTAATTTTCTTTATCGTTTTCGAAACTGGTTTCTTTTTCCTGGTATAAATATAGTGTCAAATCGATCCCGGATTTTTTAAAAAAGTTATCTGTACTTAGTGTTTATTAGCAAATATCAAGTTTGAAACTCTGTCACCTATATCCTCATACGACTGATATTGCAGGACTGTATCATATACGCTTCTTAATTTCATAAGCTAAAAGATTTTTGTTAAACAGTTGCTTGTTTTCAATATTTTCTTTTAAAAAAGTAAATTTATTTTTGTGACACAAACAATTTGTTTTAATATTTTTTTTAAGACTTATGTTATTTACTTACATTTTTATGTTAGTTAATTTACTTAATTTTCCTCATTTTTTTTTATTAAAATGAATATTTTTTGGAAAAATGTTTTAAAAATCCATTTCACTAGAATAAACAATTGCTTGTTTGCAATATTTTCTTAAAGTGTTTTCTGTTTAAAATAAAAATCTTTCGCCAGAATTAAGAACTGGAACGGGAGGAGGCGAATGAAGAAATTTATAAGTATAAACAAGGTACAGATAACTCTTTTAAAAGTTAAGTATCGATTTGATACCGTATTTTGTTTATATTATGAACAGGACTTCTACCTCCGAAAATGATAAAAATTAATATTTTTTGATTCTGACATGTCGTAGGTCTAACGACGAATACTAATCTACAAAACGGTGGTTCTCCAAAAATGTTCCGTTTTTTTTTTTTGTTTTTGTTTTTTTATGAGTAGACCAGTTTAACTTTTAGTGCCAATGTTTGTATATTTTTGGGGATAATTTTAGTTTCACAAACTTGTTTTTAAATAATTTTGGTCATGTTTTCTTTTCTTCCTCTTTTTTTTTTTATTAATAATTAAAACAAAAGCCCGTGAGGCTTTAAATGACATAACGTGATATTGGGTGGGGGGGATTATTTTGTTAGCTCCTAAAAGGAGTTTCTCATCTAATGAGTTTTATCATTTAAATTCTGTTATTTGATTTTATTCTGAATAAAACTATTTTTTATTTTTGTACGATCAGCTTTGCTTTCTTTCATTTGTATGCATGGACAGAACATTATTTTTTTTTAATTCTGCTGTAATGATAGCTAAACTTTGTGAGGTAAAATTATAGCCCTGTCGACTAATCGAAGCGAGAGCTGCGATAATGAATCCAGGGTCATCAACCTAGCCTTACTTCTTATGACAGAAGCAATTCACCAATAAGCCTCTGTGCTAATGTTAGATGGATAACGGAAGTAAAAATCAATAGTCAAAAATTTATGACAATACTTCAGCTAATAAATTCAGACCAAATCCATTGTTACAAAGTCATGAGAAGCTGGCCCAAAATGGCAAATACTTTCGTACTTGTCAGAACTCTGACAATCCGAACTGAGTGACTCGCTTTGAAACCTGTGGTCGGTAAATTCTGACAGTAATGGATTGACTAAATTTTGTTATAAGACCGAAAAACGTGCGAAGACAGTACACTTGCGAGAATGGAAGAGTGATTGATAGATTGGTGGGGTTATTTGGGGGTGGGTGGGGGGTGATTACCAACCCCTTGTGGGTTATTTAAAAACAAAATATATTTTAGGTTGTAAGAAAAATACTTTCTTTCGGCACCTGAACGGTCGGTACGCAGGCTCATGGCCTTCGTGGTATTATTTACACTCCCATTTTTTTTTTTTTTTTTGACTGCCAACTTGACGATAGTTGGAAACTACCTTTCTTTCTCTATTTCGCTTTTTTACTTCTGGCTCCTTGTCCATGTTCGACTCTCAGCATCCCGTCCCTACTGGCTGCCCGCACGTCGTCCATGACCTTTGCCGTACACTACGTTTGTAATTATTACGGAAGGTTTTTCGATATCGGTCTCGACCAGCAGACACGCAATGCCAGCACCGGATATTCGATATGCCCAACAACATCGCAACGCCAGCTCCTCTTTCCTTCCCGACACGTCCAGTTGGAAACCATACCAACCGACCAGCAGCAACCATCTACGACGACCAACAGCGGACCACCTGCAACGACCAGCAGCGATCATCTGCGACGACCAACCAACCTTCCCTGTATACTATCTGTTGTAATAACTACGGGAGGTTTCGACACCGACCTCGACCAGCGTCCAACCGTCGACACGACCGGAACGTCTGCAACTCGACTCAAACCGACGACACGACCTGTCCGACCACCATTACCCCTTCTTTATATAATAAACTTAGTATTAATCCTGCATACCTTCGTTCTGTCGTCCGATTTGTTTCACCCTGTCAGATTTAACGTCTTCGATACGAAAAACGTTAGCGGGCCTCTTGTGACCTCATCACTTTTGCGATACGGGGGCGCTCAGACCGCGCTTTCATATCCCCCCCCTTCCAGGGGGTCCGCTACAAATACTTATCGATAGAAAACAAGAAACCAAGGGCGACACGCAGCACAATATCTACTGCTATGTGGTATAAACAAATAATCTAGCGTAGAATAAATCGGATAAGAAAAAACGTACCGATTTAGATAAATTCGCATTTCACCTGATGATAGTCTTTTGTGGCTAAAAATCAGTAAATCATCGTCAGACGAGCTCCCGAGGAAACGAGTTCTAATTTCGTCGGAAGCGACTTTACGACACTGCTTGCTTAAGCGTTGCAGAATATAAGAATGACCTGAGTATTGTGATAAAAAAAAATAAAGGAAACCTCGTCAAAAACTAACAATACTTCATCTAAAAATATTAAGACAACACTATTATGTCTAACACTACAACGCTGCGGGACGTCCTGGTCCCTGCGCTACACGACAACACCGTCCCGTACTCAGTCACTGGTGTGTCTGCGATTGAATCCTGCGGTTAACCGTGTCTCACGTTGTTTATTTTGATCACAATGCAGGCATAGATCGAATAGTCGCCAGATATCGCTTGGTTGGTATCGTTCAGGCGGGACGATGTTATGAGACAAAGAAAGTTGTGTAGATCAAAAAGGTTTATATAACTGAGGTTTATACTGGAAAACTTTTTTCATATTAGAATCTACAAGCATGAAGGCTGAAGACCATTTCTTCGTAGTCTAATTTCGTGACACTTTGTTCTTTGTTTCCAGGTCGAAGTCAA